TAAAAAGTTGGTGGACCAGAGCTGGCTGTGCCAGTGTTGGTGGTTGTTTCTGAGTATTTGCCATGGGCAGATGCCAGGCTCACACCCACCCCAGGAGACAGTTAGGATGCCCATTTTGTAGATGAAGAAACGGAGGCACAGAGAGGTAGTCACTGGTCCAAGGTTACACAGCTGGTAAGAGGCAGAGCCAGGATTCTAACTGAGCCCTCACTCCACAGCCCAGGTGCTGGACGGAGGGACAGGACAGGCACTGGCAGGAGGGGTGCTGGCTTCCTGCTCATTGCCCCTCTCCCACTCCCTCACAGGACCGTGGGTGACAAAGGGGACGGCGGGCAAGAGACCTTCTCAGCCGGGATGCCGAACGCTGCTGCCCAGCAGCCCGGCCATTCATCTTCACTGACCGCAGACACCAGCGCCAGCCTCTTAGCTCACAGCCAACGAGGTTAAAAATACACCCAAACCGTGTTTCCATTGACTTGGCCCTGAGTTACGGCCTGGGCCCTGTGCTGCCTCCAGCTCAGACTCCAGAGATTTGGCAAGCCAGGCTGGCTGGGGCTGCAGAAAGCTGGGCACCCTGCCAGAGAGACCAGCTCCCCTTCCTCACCTATGAAAGGGGCTGACCGGCCCCTGCCTGCAGACACCACGCCCGAGAGAGGCTCCTCCAGCCCCGACCCTGTGGCCAGCAAGGAGCCGGCCAGGCCTGGGGTTCAGAAGAAGAAGAAAGGAATTTGGAATCGCTGTCGTGTCAGTTCCTCCTCCTCAGCTGGGAAGAACTAAAGAGGGGCCTGTATGCTGAGCCAAAATCAGAGCCCGAGGGGCCTTGGAGACCGCAGAGAGGGTGCTGAGCTTTCTGCAGCCCCGAGGGTGGGGCCGAAGACCTGGTGTGCTGGTCGGTGCATGGGGTGAGTTCTCTCCCAGTCTCCCTCCCCACGAAGCGAGCAGAGGTGCTGTGGCCCCTCGGCCTCGTACGCCTCTCGCCTCCACATACACACATTCACGGGGTTCCACATCTACTCGCAGGCGGGCAGATGCCTGGCTCACCTCCTCGACTGACATCTCCCTTCTCCCCATGAACAGAAGCCAGACCTCATCCAGCTGGGGCCAATGGCGCAACCCCCAGAGCCGGCTGGCCATCGCAGCAGCCTCTCACCACACATTCACACTCAAACGCCCGAAAATGACCTTTAATAGGAATTCCAGTCCTCCATCGGATGAACCAGATTCTGGGTGCTCGGTGGCCGCCTGTGGCTGGTGGCTGTCATTTGCACAGCGCAGACCTGGACCATTTCCATCAACACAGAGAGTTCTGTTGCACAGCTCAGCTCTCAAAGCCCAAACCAGTCAGGGAATCCCACTCCCCATGGGACACGAACTCATCGTTTTTGATGGTTGCATAATATTCCATGGTGTATATGTGCCACATTTTCCCTGTCCAGTCTATCATCGATGGGCGAACTCTGACGACATGAGACTAAGGCATGAAAGGACAAACGTGATTCCACTGACATGAGGCCCTCAAGTTGTCAAATTCATAGACAGGGAAAATGTGGCACATATACACCATGGAATATTATGCAACCATCAAAAACGATGAGTTCGTGTCCTTTGTAGGGACATGGATGAACCTGGAAACCATCATTCTCAGCGAACTGACACAAGAACAGAAAATCAAGCACCGCATGTTCTCACTCATAGGTGGGTGTTGAACAGTGAGAACACATGGACACAGGGAGGGGAGCATCACACGCTGGGGTCTGTTGGGGGGAAGTAGGGGAGGGACAGTGGGGGGTGGGGAGTTGGGGAGAGATACCATGGGAAGAAATGCCAGATACAGGTGAAGGGGAGGAAGGCAGCAAATCACACTGCCACATGTGTACCTATGCAACAATCCTGCATGTTCTTCACATGTACCCCACAACCTAAAATGCAATAAAAAAATAGAAAAAGAAAAAAAAAAGAAAAAGAGAAAAAAGTTCATAAAGACGCAGAGTAGAATGGGTTTCAGGGGATGGGGGCGAGACGGGAAGTTGTTTAATGAGGGCAGAGTTTCAGTTTTGCGAGATGAAAAGAATTCTGGAGTTGGATGCTGGCGATGACCACACAGCAGTGTGACATACTTAATGCCATTGAACTGCGCACTTAAGAGTGGTTAAGATGGTAGATTTTATATTATGTGTATTTTACCACAATTAAAGATTTGCTGACATGCTATGCGGAACTGTGATATTGTTAAATATATGTTTGGTCTTCTTCCCTTTTCCTGGCATTCAACTCCTGAAATGCTTGGAATCTCCAAAGCAATATCTTTTTGCATGTGAATGATTCACGGAGGGCCAGCAGCCCCTGGGCAGCTTCAGGATGGGACAGGTCAATGGAAAGACCAAGGCAGGATCCATCCTGGGGAGAGGAGAGAGACGTGGTTAAGCTGCTCACCGGTGACACCACAGTCATTTCATCAGTCATAGCTCCAACATGAAGCCTCCATAAAAACCCAAAAACAGGTTCAGGGAGCTGAACACATGAAGGTTCCTGGAGGGCAGTGCCCCCCCGGAAGGGCATGGAGGCTCCCCACCCCTTCCCCATCACTTGCCCTGGGCACCACTTCAGCTGCAACCTTTTTCATATCTCTTGCAATAAACCAGTAAATATACGGAAGTATCTCCCTGAGTTCCATGAGCCACTCTAGCAAGTTAAACCCAAGGAAGGGGTCATGGGAACCCCAGTTTCTAGCTGGTCAGCCAGAAGCACAGGTGAAACAACCTGGGGCTTTTGACCGACATTGGAAGTTGGGGGACAGTCTTGGGGACTGAGTCTTGGGGACTGACCAAACCGGACTGGGGTCTGCTTGCCAGGTACAGTAAAGCCAAACGTTCACATTGAGATTTTGCAGCAGGAGAAGAGAGGGCATTTATTTGCAGGGCGCCAAGCAAGAGAATGGGGACAGCTCACACGGAAGACCCAGCTTTCTCAGGTGCTAACAAACAAGGCCTCTTAAAAGCAGGAGTACATTTCAGGAAAGCAGTACTCACAAGTACAATCATAACTCAATACATGGAAGCTACACATTGGTTTGGCCTAAAAAGGTGGGATATCTTGAAGTGAGTGCACTTCCAGGTCATAGGTCGATTCAAAGACTCTCTGTTTGCCATCGATTGAGGAATCTAGGCTTTGTCTAAAAACCTGGGGTCAGCAGACAGGAATGGTAAGGTCTGGCCTGTGGAGGTGGCTTCTTCCCCAGGCCCCACAGGAAGAAATGTAGATCAAAGAACAGCAGTGGTCAGAGTTCAGTACTCAGCTCCCCCTTATCTGAAGTCTACCGGCCGGCCGATTCCACGTGGTGGGGGTCCAGGTTTGTTGTTGTTATTGTTGTTGTTGTTTTTGAAATGGAGTCTCGCTCTGTCACCCAGGCTGGAGTGCAGTGGTGTGATCTCAGCTCATCGCAACCTCCGCCACCCTGGTTCAAGCGATTCTCCTGCCTCAGCCTCCCAAGTATCTGGGATTACAGGCACATGCCACTGCACCCGGCTAATTTTTGTATTTTTAGTAGAGACGGGGTTTCACCACCTTGGTCAGGCTGGTCTCGAACTCCTGACATCTTGATCCACCCGCCATGGCCTCCCAAAGTGCTGAGATTATAGACTAAATCTCTTCTGTGGCTTCCTCCTCTCCTTGGATATCTCGGGGTGGGCATTTCTGTTATTATCTGTTAAACTTGCCTGCTCGTTGCTGTGTCTCACACACTTAACAGTTACAAACAAATACATACAGTGCTAAATGTAAAGTTCAAAGTCTTAAAAAAGATAGAGTAGTGTAAGTGACTGTTTCCATGCTCTTCAGATGAGGAAGCCCTGTGTGCCAGCATGTCTCCAAAGACAAACCACGACAGAATAGACTGGTACATTTGATGACAAAGCAGTCTGAAACACCTGTGGATTAAAAAAAACACCGGAAGCACTGGCCGGGCGCGGTGGCTCACGCCTGTAATCCCAGCACTTTGGGAGGCCGAGTCGGGCAGATCACGAGGTCAAGAGGTTGAGGCCATCCTGATCAACATGGTGAAACCCCATCTCTACTAAAAATACAAAAATTAGGCATGGTGGCACGTGCCCGTAGTTCCAGCTACTCAGGAGGCTGAGGCAGGAGAATTGCTTGAATCCAAGAGGCAGAAGTTGCGGTGAGCCGAGATCGTGCCATTGCATTCCAGCCTGTTAAACAATACGGGATGCTTTAAACTATTAAATTTATTGGAACCATGTTCCAGAAAAGGTATCTCCTTAAGTTGAGAAATAATGACGCTGCTGTAGCTTTATGAAGAAGAAGGTGGTACTCTGATAGACTGTGCATCAGAATTAAACACGGTACAGCCACTCTGGAAAACATTTTGGCAGCCGAATCTACATTTATCACAGAACCCAGAAATTCTATTCTCAGCTATTTACCCAGGAGAAATGAAAACATGTGACCACACAGAACTTGCACACAAATGTTCACAGCGTCTCTATTCACAATAGCCCAAAACTGGAAACAACCCAAGCATCCCTCAACTGCTAAACGGGTAATAAGCTAATCATGGCACATCTATACTATGAAATACAGCTCAGCAATAAAAAGGAATGGACTTTTGAATCAATCTCAAAAGCATTCTGTTAAGAGAATGAAGCTAGACACAAAAGGCTAGATACAGGATGATTCCATTTATATGGCATTCTGAAAAAGGTAAAATTCTAGTGACAGAAAATAGATCCATGCTCGATGCGGGGATGGGAGGGATGGGGTGGGAATGGAAGTCAACCACAAATGTGCAGGTGAGATCTTTGGGGTGCGAAGGAAGGGTCCTAAATTTTTAGCATAGCAGGGGTTACACAGCTGTCTCCATTTATCAAACTGACACTTCAAGTTGGTGAATTTTAAAGTCTATAGATTATGACTCATTAAGCTGATGTTTTTAACAGTTTTTTAAAGCATGTTATAAAACAACACGGTTAATAGGGTCTCAATTGACACATCTCTCTCATCCTTCCCCTGGTGACACGTCCCAGCTCTGCCTTTTGAAAGCAAAGATGAGCAGCACTCAAGCTGAGAAGTCCATAGTGGGCATGATCAACATGTTTCACAAATACACCGGAAATGACGACAAGATTGACAAGCCCAGCCTGCTGACGATGATGAAGGAGAACTTCCCCAACTTCCTCAGTGCCTGTGACAAAAAGGGCACAAATTACCTGGCCAATGCCTTTGAGAAAAAGGACAAGAATGGGGATAAGAAGATTGATTTTTCTGAGTATCTGTCCCTTCTGGGAGACATAGCCATTGACTACCACAAGCAGAGCCACGGAGCAGAGCCCTGTTCCGGGGGAAGCCAGTGATCCAGCCCCACCCAGGGGCCTCCAGAGACCCCAGAACGATAAAATGTGTCCCACCACAAGACACGTGCCTGATGTCCTTCTCTTTGTGACTGACATTGTCAAAACTACAAATTCCAGGTCAAGTTTGTGAGAATTTGTGAGAGACCCCAGAACAATAAAGTGTGTCCTGCCACCAGACAAAAAAAAAAAAAAAAAATAGGGTCTCAATTTTGTGCAAAAAAGAAGTACACACCTATGTTAGTCAGGACAGATTAAGACGGGCTGTGGTAACAAAACCCCTCAATCTTGATGGCTTAAGCAAAGTAATATTCATTTCCTCATCACGTCCCAGTCTAAGATAAACTGGGCCATGTCTGAGGCAGCTCTGCTCCACACAGTGATGCTGGCATCCAAGCAGCATCCACCCTCAGTTCTGTCCTCTCAACACGTGACTCCCATGGTTACTGCCAACAGAGGGGAGGGTGTGCAGAGGCCCCAACTCTTAACTGTCTCCACTGCAGTTGGCCCAGCTCCCCACTGCGTCCGCCATCTACCGGAAGAGTCATGTGGCCCCAACTCAGCAGGCAGGGAGGCTGGGAAAGGAAGGAGACCATGGATATGCAGCAAGGGCCGATTGTCTCTGCTGCAACATTTCCTTAGAGACACCAGCTCCCTCTTGCTCCCTTTTTCCTGTACAGAGAACACCCCCTCCTCTCTAAGGGGAGGAAACCTGTCCCACCCAGCGCTGCCTCCAGCCCAGGGTGATGTGCAGGTCCTATGTCTGTGAGGGTCCTGTTGTCCGGGGCCTTCTGAACGTAAACGACAAGTGACCCACCCTTCTCCACACCCCTCAATATACGCCGGTGGACACCACAGGCAGCATTCCCACCTAGCGCCTGTGCAGACAGGTCAAGATTCACAGTGCGTCTGAGAGCCTGCCGGCACGCTGTGGGCAACCCCTACCTTGAGGATGAGGATGGGCTTTTCGTCAGGCCCTGAGGCTTCTCAGGGCAGAAACTCCCTTGTCCAGTGTCATCCAGGGCCCCTCATTCTGCTTTTTGGGGTGTTCTCTTTCTGCCGGTTTCCCTTTTCTTCTTATCCCTATCTGCGGTGAGATCTCCCACTTTCTCAGGCCACTTCCTGTCTCCTAGAAGGGCAGAGGTTCTAATATCACTTAATCTCATTTCAAATTTCAAATCATCAAAGGCTTTTGCGGGCCAGGTGTGGGAATTCCCTGCAATCATATTCCCTTTAAACACTTCGTAGGATTCTGAGCTAGTTGCCTCCAATCCGTTCTGTGTGCTTTAGAGGGATGACGGGGGATCAAGGCTCCCTCTACCTTAGAAGTCACTGTGTCTGCGGAGATCACCACAGCCATAAAAGAAAGGAAGGGAGGGAACGTACCAGGCCTTAACCGCTTCCAACTGGAAGTGACAGTCATTGCTCAAACTGGGAGGACTTGCTACACGTCCCACTTGTGGGTGATTACAAGGGGTCCATAGAAAAGTCAGAGGAAGGCTGGGCACAGTGGCTCACGCCTGTAATCCCAGCCCTTTGGGAGGCCAAGGCAGGTGGATCACGAGGTCAGGAGATCGAGACCATCCTGGCCAACATAGTGAAACCCCATCTCTACTAAAAATAAAAAATTAGCTGGACATGGTGGCACCCACATGTAATCCCAGCTACTCAGGAGGCTGAGGCAGGAGAATCACTTGAACCCGGGAGGCGGAGGTTGCAGTGAGCCAAGATCACACCCCTGCACTCCAGCCTGGTGACAGAGTGAGACTCCATCTAAAAAAAAAAAAAAAAAAAAAAAAGAAAGAAAGAAAGAAAAGGCCTGGAACAGTGCAGGCCCCATGAACTTTCCCTGTAATAAATTAAAACTCCCTTCCAGGCAGGGCCCACACTGAGAACTGGCTGAGAGTGGTCAGGGTGTGGTGGCTCATGCCTGTAATCCAGCATTTTAGGAGGCCAAGGTGGGCAGATTGCTCAAGCTTAGGAGTTCAAGACCAGCATGGCAAATCCTCATCTCTACAGGAAACACAAAAATTAGCTGGGCATGGTGACACACACCTGTAATCCCAGCTATTTGGGAAGCTGAGGCAGGCGGATCACTTGAGCCCAGGAGGTCAAGGCTGCAGTGAGCTGAGATCATGCCACTGCACTCAAGCCTGGGCGACAGAGTGAGACACTGTCTCAAAAAAAAAAAAAAAAAAAAAAAAAAAAACTGGCTGAGAGTGGCATCCAAACTGGGCAGAACAGAGACAACAAGAATCAAAACCTAGAAATGAAAGAAAGAAAGAAAGAAAGAGCAGGAGAGGAAGGGAGGGAGGGAGGGAGGGGGAGAAAATCCAGGTGGAAAGGAGGAGGGATATAAAACACAAGATCCTATTTTTTAACACTTCACAAAAACAACAAAAGGAAACGATAGAGCCATGAAGCTAGAAAAGTGAGTCTGACCCACCCCTCTTCTTGAGAGTTTAGAAAACTCATTTCATTCAAAAATGAGCAACACAAAATGATTGTGGTTAAATCTCATACAAAGTCATTATAAGAAAAATGAGAATGGGGATTCCGTGTTTGGATCCCCTTCCACGAACACTCCCTTCGTGGAAGCCGTCTTTCTCTCTCCTGGATTTTCCCTCTGGAGTCCCCTTCCATGAACACTCCCTCGTGGAAGCCTGTCTTCCCCTCCTAGACTCCATCTCTCTCTATTCCCTTCCACTCCGTGTGGAAGCTGCTTTCCTCTCCTGGATTCCATCTTTCTGGATTCTCTCACTCAGTGTGAGAGTTAGCTATTTATTTCTCTCTCCTTCTCCCATTTCTCTCTCTCTCTCTCTCTCTCTCTCTCTCTCTCTGTCTCTAAATAAATCAAAATAAATAAATAAAAATTAATTAATTAATTTAAAAAAGAAAAACGAGAATGATAAGCGACGCCCTCACAGATAATGAAGACATTCCAAGAAACACATGCCCCTAAATACATACCTGAAAGTGTAGAAACTCATTTTAAAATGAGCCAACAGAAATTAAGAAAGTAACAAAAGATACAAAAGAATAACAAAAGTTGGAAGACTTCAGGAGAGATGTGCTAGAACTAAAGAAATAATTAGAAATAAAAGAAAAACTGATTTCAGACTAAACTAGAAGGAACACAAGAACAATGAACACAAAGAAGACAAAATGGTGCATGTTTCTAAAACAGAAAAATGGAAGACAGAGAACTTGGATTAAGAGAAAGTGACTGTGAAGATGACAGGCAAATGATCTAACATATGTATAATAGTAGCTGCTGAAAAAGAAAACCACATCTAGGGAATCGAAGAAAGATTATGCACTACAATTTAAAAACACTTTCCTAAGATAAATAAAAACTTAAAACGACATTGCGTACTTTAAAAAAGTGACCCAGCCGGGCACGGTGGCTCAAGCCTGTAATCCCAGAACTTTGGGAGGCCGAGGCGGGTGGATCACAACGTCGAAAGATCGAGACCATCCTGGTTAACATGATGAAACCCCGTCTCTACTAAAAATACAAAAAATCAGCTGGGCATGGTGGCGCGTGCCTGTAATCCCAGCTACTCAGGAGGCTGAGGCAGGAGAATTGCCTGAACCCAGGAGGCGGAGGTTGCGGTGAGCCGAGATCGCGCCGTTGCACTCCAGCCTGGGTAACAAGAGCGAAACTCTGTCTCAAAAAAAAAAAAAAAAAAAAAAAAAAAAAACTGACCCAGCGCATTTGACAGAGAATCATATTCTATGACATATTCTATGGATGCCATCGAGGATCCGGGAAAAGATCAAGTCACTCTTAGACAAGATGGCATGAGAAAAAGAAAAAGATGAAGTCACTTACCAGGAAAATCAGATTGTCATCAGACTTACCTACACCAATACTTCATGCCGGAAGACAAGGGACTAGTATAGCCACATTATTAAGGGGGCAAAGTATGATCCAAGAAAGATATGTGTCCAGCCAAACTGATGTTCAAGTATAAGGGACATGAACAATTTTCGACATGCGACAACTCCAAGAATATTACCCCTGGGAGCACCTACTGAGGACTCCGTTAGAAAACAAGCATCAGGCAGCCAACGTGACTAGAGAAACATAAACATAAGGGCTGATGGCAACAATTCAACATATATGGCATATACTTACTTGTACAATTAGGACCAAGAAATGGTTGTAAGGAATAAAGTGTAGCATGTTACAGTACGAATGCAAGATATTTCAGGGGAAATGAGAAGAGCATATGAAAGGTAGAATACGCTTGTTGACTGCCTTATAGTTAATATCTAGGCGTGAAAGGATATCAGATCAGGTGTTTTGGGAGAGAAAGGAAAGGGAAGAGAATACTAGCAAATTTCAGTATTGCTCACGGTAGGAAACAGATAAAAAAGAGGGGGCTGAAAGCACTATGTGCAGATATGGGATAAAGGTTAGCATGTCAACAAATCATGACCCTTCCTAAGTACAAAAAAAAAAAGAGAGAGATAGAGAAAAATAAAAGCCACACTGGAAAACAATTTGCTTAAAAAATTTACATCAGTTTAAATGTAACAGAAAACAACATGACAGAACTGAGGTTAAACATACCGATCTCATACCTGGTCTTAATTCACATATTAAGAGAAAAAAGATGTCTATATTGGCTAGCAAAACGAAATTCAAATCTGTGCTTTAAAGTTTCTCTGGAGGCTGAGGTGGAGGCTCACACCTGTAATTCCAACACTTTTGGAGGCCAAGGCAGGAGGATTGCTTGAGCCCAGGAGTTTGAGATCAGCCTGGGCAACATAGGAAGACCCTATCTCAAAAAAAGTAATAGCCCAGTGCAGTGGGGCACATCTGTGGTCCCAGCTACTCAGGAGGATGAGAAGGGAGGATTGCTTGAGCCCAGGAAGTTGAGGCTGCAGTAAGCTATGATCACACAACTATACTCCAGCAAGACTCTGTCTCAAATCAAAATAAATAAAATAAGATAAAATAAAATCTCTCTGGAGTGATGGCCAGAACATATTGTCTAGTGAAAAGTGTGAGGTAGGAAGTGACTCTCATATGCTACCATTTATC